CACACACACACACACACACACACACACACACACTGCTGGTTATTTTTATCACAGTGTTAAAGTGATGAAATCAACATGACGAAACACTTTCAATGAGGAGGTTTGACTCCATGATGACAACAAGACTCATTTTTGACATTTTTATTTTCAAATCTTCAGAATTTAAATCGAGCGTTCATTGGGTCTTTACTCATTCCAAATTAATTTATCCACTGTGCCACTCCAGCATCATTCAGCTGCTTTTTCTCACACTCGGACAAGCTAGGTGTCACCGTTTTCCACCTTGTGTTGTCCTGGAATTCTTGGACAGGGGTCCAGACAGCATGCAGGCAGCCTGTGTAAAAACAACACGAGACAAAAATACATCTTGCTTTTGGTAAGATGATACTTTTCTTTTAATGACTGCAGGAGGACACGAGGACGCCTCAGCTTCAGAAGCTCACATGTTCAACATGACACAACATCAAGGCTGTGCTCAAATGTCCCACAACAACTTTGTTCCATAAACTTGTTTTTCGAAAAAAAAAAAATCTGTAATTGTTTAGGATATATTAAGTTTGGTTAACAAATTCTGGAAAAAAAATATGAGCATTGCTTTCAAACATTCATCAATTTTGTCCCAAAGTTCTTTAAATGTTTTGTCTAAAATAAAACAAACAACTTCAAAAAGAAATCTAAACCTAAATGACCATATTGTTACCTGCTACTGATGTATTGTAGTTTTCCAAAATTTTCAGCTTAAAACCAATAAAATAACAGGATGAGATTTAGGGCAATTTTCTTCTTACTATTTCTAAATTTTTTCTTGTAAAAAATGCTACCAAAACTCTTTTTTAGGGATCATTTATAAGCTTACTTTAAATTTAGAGATCACCTCAAGACCCCAAACTAAGTGTTCTACGGGCCATAGTGGGGTCCCGACCCTTAACTTTGGGAGCCACTTATTTAAGTACAAGTTAACGTTTGAGTTTATTTATAAAGCACATTTTAAAACAGCTGTTGTTGGCTAAAGTGCTGCACTTAATGTTGAGAAAACAACAGAGCTTGAAAGGCCAAACAACAAAAGCAATAAACTTTGGCAAAACAAGTAAACACTTTTATAAAAACAAGAAAATATCAAAAAGATGGAAACATTTAAGGTCTTATGTTGAGTTAAAGCCAAGAAAAGGCTTAAAAAGCCTGAATGTTGAAGCCTGAACAGGAGAACTTCGTTACATGTCTCTAACATATTTCAAGCCTTTTTTCCTTATAAACCAACACACACATTAATTTCAACTTCAGTCCTAACTTTAAGTTTTGATTTAAAAATTGAGGAAAAACCTAGAGGTATAGTCAGCTTTAATCTTTTTGCACTTCTCCAATTCAAAATTACTCCTGATTTGTCAAAAATCGAGCTGAGACAATACGGTCATACTAAAAGTTTTGTTGCTAAACAGTTTATTGTTTACAATGTCATGATTTTATAACAAAAAGCTGTTATTAATCAGTGATTTAATGATCATTTGACATCAAATACAATTGTTTTAACTCTTAATTTTAGATGGGAGGAAAAAAGAAAGCAACTGAGAGGGCAGGGATTTAGTTTTAGTGTTTTGTGATCACAGCTTCTGATTCTGGTTGCATTGTGTTGTGAATTGAACTGACTTGTTTAAATGAACTGGATAATAATCTGAACCTGTTAACAGTCCACTGAGATGACCCAGTGATACACAAATAAATTGAACTGAATTTAATTAAATTAAATAATTTTATAATTAAATCTGGTTTTATTGATTTTGCTGCTAATGAGGTTTTGATGCTTTATAATAAAATGCAGTGAATAAAATAAAAATTTGTCTTATTTTTTTTAATAAATTACATCAAATGTTGAAATTATACAGCATCATCAAGCTATAACCTTTGCATAGTTTCTCCTTTTTTTCTTAAATAACTTTTAAGGTGATGTGAACCTAAGAGACAGGATTGAGCTAAAAACTGAATCCCCCCTTTCTCCTGTATTCAAATTATCTACAGTGGTATGACTGTTAAAGTTGTAAATGATAATAAATCTCCAATTATTGCTAATAAGAGCAATTGAATCAGGCAGATTTTGTTTTTGTTTTTTTATTTGCAGGAGTCAAAAACCTTCTTGGTTCAGCTTAGATGATGCCAAAACTGGTTCTATAAAGAACCGTGTCTGAAACAGCCTGTAAGGATCAAGTTTTAAATGTTCAGGATCAGCACATGTCTGCGATATCAGGTAGCGGACTTTGTACTTGAGGGGGACAACATTTAAAAATAACCCCACACCCCAAGACTGTGCCTGAAGTCCTGCATCATGGCTCTATAACCTGAAGCACACGACCATGAAATGGGTACGTACTGTTTGCATGGCTGGAAATCCCCCTTACAGACCAGACAACTGTTTTAATGCCTCAAGTAATAATTATAACACTTTAATCAGCGATGATTTATCTGCAAGGCAGTGTGTGGCTTTGGTTGGAGAAAGTAAATGTTGTCTTCTGTCTGGCTGAAACAACCACAGCATGACTCACATGACACACTTCACTGGGCATCCAATTTCCTTTGATTAAGTTAAATGAAAAATTAGTTTAAATGCATTTATTTTTTAACCAACAATCTTGTTGTTCGTGAGACAGTTTTATATTTTTGTTTTTTCAGCTGTCAAACTTGAAAAAGTCAATTTTATAACAGAGATTTAATGTGATGTGGTTGTTTATTAGACAGAAAATCATACATAAGCACTTTTATTTTTCAATGTACTTTTCAGCTCTGAGTTAGATGGTTTGAGTCTGTTTACTTTCAGTAGGCAGGATGAGTATTTCATTGTAAACATTCGAGGCTGGAGCCTTTGACAAAGTGTCCTTCATGCAGCTGAAATGTGACAAATGCAGGTCAGAAGGGAAGAGGAGCTGGTATTTTTCCAGTATCTCTGCCACCAGATTCCAGCTTGTATTTCATGGTGTGTGTTTTTAAGCCTCCACCTTCAGGGCTTCACACCTGACCCCAATGCCAAAGAGTGTTTGGATACTAAAATGTAAATAAAACATAAAAAAAATGTTAGAAAGGATTTTTAGTGTATAATATATATATATATATATATTAGCTGGTTGTAATCCAACTGTAAGGACGCCCTCAAAAATGAGATGGTATACATCTCAAGGGTTTATCCTTAAAATAAATATTTTTTTAAAAAGTGTTCTCTATGTTAAAACAACGAGAGCTTATCTACTTTATCATAATTGCAAAAATTTATTTTTTTATTTCATATTAATTACCTTACTGTACAACCTTTTTACACTTAAAAAAATGTGTTTGTTTTATTTATGTAATGCTACAAACAACAAAAGCTGCCCCGACAAAATTTTATTTGACAAAGTGGGTGAAAGATCTCTTTAAAATCTCTCAAATAAATGCAACATGCCACTAACCTGATCATGTCCTGCAGCTCAGGTAAAAATATCACCTAATGTAGCAGCTAGAGGGTGATGGTGGGCTTTGATTTAAGAGCATCAAGGAGATGTGTTTCCACATGAGCTTCAAGAGGTTTGTTTATTTTGTTTGTTTGTTTGTTTGTTTGTTTGTTTGTTTGTTTGTTTGTTTGTTTGTTTGTTTGTTTGTTTGTTTGATTGATTTTTGGTGCTGTTCAGTTAAGAACTTCCTTTAGTCAGAGATAATCTTATGTGCTTCTTTTCAGACATGAATCTCAAAATAAAAGCTGTTCTCAAAAGATGGAATGATGCCAGAAAAAACAGAGAAGTTAAGAGTTAATTTGTGCAAGCAGACATTGGTCCCAAATCTCCAGGAGTTGCTGTTTGAGAGCTGGGCTCTGTTTTCCGACTGAAGCACAATCAGGCGTCCTGATGGATCTGTCTCTAACTCACTCAGGCGACCGAACAGCAGCTTCTACTGATGGTCAAACTGGGGATTCACACACTGCTTCTCTTTTATTGACTGCACGTGAACCACGGACACAGACTGAATCTGGGCTCATAGACACGACTGATGACCCAACACTAAACGCTTCCAGGGATGTAGATGATTCGAAGTGTTTTTCAGTTTGCTCAGAGACTTCACTGAAAAATGATATGAAGAACCGTTGGTGTTTAGGTCCACCAAAACCTGAAAGTGAAATGTCGCTTCTGTCGCCTCATGGCTTTCTTTCACCTCAATCTAATTCTGCAGAGTTTGATGTGAAACTAGAACATCCCTTCTCTTGCATGAAGATAGCTAGTTCACCTGAATCTTCTAAAGATGTACCATCCAGATTTGAGGCTATGATGAAGCCGTCTATCCCCGTGCCTTTGTCCACCTCCAGCTACAGTTTGGAACATATGCCAGTTTTGTCATTATCAGCTCAGTCTGATAGTTTAGACACTGATGCGATGGTAGAACCCATATCAGACCTTTATATTTTTGAAGGTGACACACATGACTTCATCCTCAGCCAAACTGTAGATCCCAGTGAGATTATATGCCCTGAATACCTGCCATTATCGCAAACAGGAATGGAGAAGGCAGACCATGACTGTGGTCCACATGTCCTGATGTGTGATTCAGAAGGCATTGTGTCACAATGTCATCACAGCTTTAGTGAGGAACAAGCTATAGAGAGCAACCTGTCAGAGGTGAGTCAACACGGAGACTTACGAGCATCTGCTGCCGATGCCTGGGAGGTGGAGTTGATGTCAGGAAGTGATGTGAGGTCAGGCAAAGCAGAGGTCACTGATGTAACCCCCCAACTGCAGCTCAGCAGCAGCCCAGTCGAACTGTGGATGGACGCGCGTCAGGATCTGATGGGTGAGGACGAAGAAGACGTGGTGGTTTTGGACAAAGTGAGTCATTTTCTGATGCAAGAACAAGTGTCAGGTTTCTGCCCCAGTGACAAGAGGATTGGCTGCTCCATCAGCGACTCTAAAGGTTGGGGACCACCGGTTAAGAGGTGGTCATCGGTGGACAGCTGGGCAACTGCACTCTCAGACTGGACTGGGATTGTCGAGGATCCATCAGAAGACATTGCAGCTGCTTTCGCAGAGATAGGAGCTGAAATAAATGCTTTGACTCAGTCACTGGATGAGTTGAACGCTCAAACTGAGTCAGATACACTGCAAGAAAATATAAAGACGACAGAGCAAACTCAGGAGATTATGGGCGTTCAGGATCAGCCTCTGAACACCCAAAGTACCCAAGAGAGCTCCATTTATTCTGAGCAGAGCTGTCTCTCTTGGGGTCTTGAAGCAGGAGGACCTGAGTGTCCGAACAGTTGCTCAAAGATTGTTGAATCCCTGTGTGACCCGGAAAATACCACAAAAGAAGAACAGAAGTCGGCAGGGTTCCCATTTATGGGTTCACTCAGCATGATGATGCCCTCTCCAGAAAGACGCCCTACAGACATGACTGAGAGCACACTCAGGACTGCAGCTGCTTCTTCCTCTGATTTGACTCTTTCTCAGTCTGATGGATACTTAAAACCTTTTGAGGACAATATTTTCTTGAGTGGTGACAATGATCCAGTCAAACTGAACATAACAGAGGATGCAGATTTTTTCATTCATCCAGAGGTAAGACGACAATTGTTTTGTGTAGATTGATGTAAAACTCATGAATTCTGTATTGCATCACTAAAATTAAAGAGAAGTCAGACACACGTCAGAAGAACACGCTGCTCTCAGCGTGGTAGAGAAGGTGGAAAGATTCACCCTTTATACAAGAGCGATCAGATAGACATCGTTGGCAGAGAAACAAAGCTATCCTGCATTTTAGAAACAGAGCCAGAATGTTGAGAGACATTCTCTCTCCTGTCCTTGTGATTGCTTTCGTACCTTTAGTGGCTGCAGTTTGCCAGTCACGTATTCTCACATGAGGCTCTTGTGTCTGGTCAACTTGTTTTGAGCAGAGGGCCATTCGGGACTTGCACCTTAGCCTTGCATTATTCGATAAGTCCATTGGCTTCTGTCTCAAAGGCTAACAGTTGGAGGAATCAGAAGTGGCTGAGAGGAAGACTTCAGGCAGCCAGAAATGGCATCTAAGAATAGCTGAGAGTTCGATGATAATAGCAGACATCTGTGACTTGTCAGGGTGGAGGGGTGAGAGGCGAGCACAGCTGAGGACTGAAACATGACTCTTACTTGCTCTACCTCTCTCTTTTGCGCCCTTTAACACACCCGGTCCAACCACACCTCACTTTCAGAAACCTGAGGTCGGGAAGCTGAAAGGTCCTCTGAGTGAGACGACTTGTTTCATTCACTTAGGTGGGTGCCAAATCTGTACCATAGTTAGTTATTAAGAGCTAACATAGAAACATGGGATTTCATAAACTTCTGCTTGGTGGCTCTATAGGCAGGTATGTATTGAACAAAAATAAAAACAATAATAATTTTCAGTTTTACAGCTCTTTTTTAAAAACATTATGGTTTCTATCTATTTTTTGTCTTTGTTTATACAAAGCAAAGAATTTAAATCAATTTTAAGGCAGAGTAATTCTTATAAATGTCTTTAATTATCATTTGTCTGTTTTCATCGTCAGCCCCGTGGAGACGGACCACATCAGGTGACTGACGAATGCGTCTTGTCACAGCCAGGCTTGGTGGACAAGAAGGAGATTTATTGCGAAGGAAACACATGTTCAACAGATCCTGATACCTTCCACAGACTTTCTCCAACACACCCAGATGTGGACACACAACGTTATCCTTGTACGGATGTGTCATTTAACACTTTGCCAGATCTTCTTGGAGAAGGTCGAGTGGAGCAACATTTGGAAAGTCCTGAGTTCACAGCATATTTAACTCCTTTTGGTAGTGACAGTTTGGAAGGTGATCAGATTCTAAAAGACTGCTCGGGTTGTGATTGTGTACAAAGCTTGACTCTCTGCTCAAACCAGGTTGGAGTTACAGACAAATCATTTGAGGAGAGTGTTGAGGAGCTGATTCAGAAAAAGCAGAAAATAATAATCCCTGCCGATAAACCTGCAGATGCAATACAGGAGCAGCAAATCGAAGACACAGAACATAAGGTTTTAACTATAACCAAGGATATTACAGAGCTCAGCAAAGATCTAGTAAACTTTACTTCTCTCCCTCTAGACCATTTTGTTATCTCAGAGAATAACTGTGTCGCGTACCTCACTTTAGATATAAATGATCCCTTTACAACCGGGGCCGCTACACCCATTTTTACACCTACAGACCTTGAGGAGCTTGAGTTGAAGATGCCTCACAAAACCCATAAGACTACCGTGGAGGGCAAAACACGCTCCAAAAAAGAGAAATCTGGTGGTCACCATCACAATGTGCAAGCTTCCAAAAAACAAGAGAACATATCTCATCATGTTTCCACGCAGCAGACCTGCAAACAGCAAGAAAATCATCCCACAACTGGAGAAACCTACATCAGTGAGCGATGTGATGCTGGGATTGAGGTCAAGGATGCTAAAATTGTGATTGAGACCATTGGGACTGAGAAAAAGCTGCATGGAAAGAAGAAAAAGAAACAAGGTCAGGGTGTGAGTGTTAGGAGCGAAGGGGAGACATCAGCTGATGTGGGGAATGGAGCGAAACCAAAAACAACAATGCTAAGGGTGGACATGTTTGAGGCCAAGCTTGGGGCTAGAACTGGGAAGGCTCCGAAAGACAGCAGTCAGTCAGTCAGTGCTGAGAAAAAGTCCAATCAATCACAGGATAAAATTCCCCAGGAAGAGCCTCTACACCGCACAGATCATAAAAACCTCCAGACAAAAAAGGACTCCTGCCCTCCAAATGAAGATGTCATTAAAAGGAGGCGGATGTCGGGAGATAAATTTGGAAAAATTGTCAGCTCTTTGGAGTCTAAACTACCAAAGACAGACGCTTCGGTGAAAGCAAAAGAAGAAGAGCCCCAAAGGAGTGTTGTTGCAGCTCGTAAGAAGGCACACAGCGAGGTGGTCAAACAAAAAACCCCACCAAAGGAAGGTGAGAAGACTCATCAAGCAGTTAGAAGAGCAGTTGGTTTTCATGCAATGTGTCATCATAAATATCCTGGTTTCTGCAGAACCTAAGGTGGTGCAGCCCATCCAGGCTGTGTCAGTGAGCGGAGACCCTCAGAGTCTGTGTCTGTGGTGTCAGTTTGCTGGAGTCCCCTCAGACTACACCGTGACCTGGAGCAGAGAGGGGACTGTCCTGTCTGAGAGCAAGAGAAGGTATTCTCTTTCATTTTGCAAAATTCATACTGTCGTCTCAAAACGGGCCTTTTTATTAACATGTTGTCACACAATAATCAGGTTCTGAAAGGGCTTCATCAGTTTAACACACACAATCATTCTAATATGAAGAGAAGTTTGGTACTTTTAGCGTTACTGCAGTTAGAGCCGGTGGTCTCTGCCAGTCAAATATTGAATTTCATATATCTTTACAGGGTATTACTTATTTCTTTTTTCAGCTATGTGTCCCAGCTTTCTCTTTATGTGTGGTCTTACATTTCTTTACGGGGTTCCCTGCCTCCCTAACTCCCACACAACCACTTCCATGTTTAAAACTTACTGTATCTATGCAGGAAGAACCCGTCCAGAAGACCTATACAATTCTTTTCTTTTTTTTTATTCTGAAATTCAGCTTTTCATCTCAGCTCTGCCCTGACAAACTCTTAGCTTATTAGTCCATCAAAAATTCTCCAAACAGAGCTTATTTAAATAAATACCTACCACATGTAAGATAATAATTGTTCATTACCTTTTCACAGAATCTTAAAAAAATATACTGTCACTTTAACTTGAACAAGTTAAGCTTTGATACGAGAAATACAAGCTGAACATTTTACTAATTTTAAATGGCCAGTTCATTTTTAAGGAGCTATATGTAATACAGTATAACAAATTGCAAACACTATTCCCTTAGTTCGAAAATATAACAAGAGTACATGAAGCTCATCAAGTTTTATTAGACTTTTTTTGATTTACTGCATAAACAAAGCAAAGCTGAAAATTTGACATTCCAGAAACTCCGCAATCAATTATGTAAGCTGAAAAGTCAATTATTACTACTTATTTTCCTTCTACTGTATTTCCCTCGGTAAAGGGATAATCCTATATAGAAAAAACAGGACACTGTAATTTATTTATTATTTTTTTCTGAATGACGACTCAGAGATGTTTGTTGCCTTTTGTGACTCTGTACTTTTCTCTGAAGTGCAGGGGACGAGAGCAGAGTGACACTGACCATCACCAATGCCACCCACAAAGACCTGGGCAGGTTTGAGTGTCGCCTCAGCAGCTTACATGTTTCAGTCACCCTGGACTATCTGCTCACATATGAAGGTGAAGAAAATGTGATCTGTAGGACCACTGAATAAGTAAAAAAAAAAAAAAAGCAAGCATTAAATTCTGTTTTTCACCCTGGTTGTACTTCAGTTCTTAGTGAGATTGTCATCCCTGCATCTCCAAAGACCACTTCATGTGAGTACTGCTCAGCAAAGAGTCTGATTACTTTCTAAAGTTTTTACAAAAACGTAAATTAACATATAATTTGTGTTTTCTACTCCCAGCCACACCCGTAAACGTGTGCAGTGAGCAAGAGGACGCCCACTTTTCCAAGCTCTTGTTCAGGGAGGATTTTCTCTCAGAGCAGTATTTTGGAGAGAACCATCCCATCAGCATCATCACTGAAAAGGATCACTTTGGTGAGGGGATGCATCGGCGAGCTTTTCGGACCACGCTGAAGGCAGGCCAGATCCCCCTGCTGGTACCGGGACACGCCTGTGTGCTCAAAGTGCACAACGCTATCAGCTACGGGACCAAGAATAATGACGAGCTCGTTCAGAGGAACTTTAATCTGGCTGTAGAGGTGAGAAGATACTGGCAAAATAATCTGACACTACAATCCAGTGTTGTCAACGCAACAGGAAGGGGTGGACTATTCTCTATCTCTGTCTCAAACTGTACATCCATGTCAGGGGTGCCAAACTAATTTTCACCAAAGGCCACTTGAGCCAGTGACATGATGGTGAGGCGCTCAGTTCATTACGAATATGAACCCTACAGAATAACTTATTCACCATTTGGCTGGCAGAAGTTAACAAGTAATGTTTCATATCTCATATTAATATTCTTCCCACAAATAAAACTGTAGCCAACTTGGTGCACATTTCATTAAAACAAAGTTATGGCCTACCTTTACAGATAAGTAAAGTCCATGTACCGGTCACATATGCACATCCAGTCTGAGTCCAGATAGTGTCACAAGTTGAAGAAAGGCAAGGAAAGCAAAAATAAATAAATAAATAAATAAATAAATAAATAAATAAATAAATAAATAAATAAATAAAAACAAGAGTTCAGTTTAGAAACTAGTTTGAGCCTTGACTTATAATCCTCTATTCTAAACGTCAGGTTTGACAAGAGGAAAAAAAATGGATCTCAGCTGCATATGACTTTTGTATTAAACTGTATTAAAATGAGAGTTTATAAAACAGGTACTAAAAATGCCTCCCTTTACTTGCTAACTGTGAGACTGTAGCTAACTTACTGTTACTTCTTCTGCTGCTCAGAGTAGTCTCTGTGGCACCAGTGGGGGAAAATGGATCTCAGCTGCATATGACTTCTGTATTAAACTGTATTAAACTGAAAGTTTAAAATACAGGTACTAAAACACCTCCCTTTACATGCTAACTGTAAGATTGTAGCTAACTTACTGTTACTTCTTCTGCTGCTCAGAGTAGTCTCTGCAGCACCAGAACTGCCAGCCTCAACTTGTGTCTCTTCACAGTGATTTCAGCTCACAGAATATGTTACACAAATATATACAAACAATGACTGAGCTCTATGTGATATCTTGTGCATACAGTGTACAACTGACTAACTGTGAAATAAATAATACATCATTAATAAAAGTAAAAGCAGGGTAGTTTTACTCACTCTTGAGTTGAGTAGCTGCGGAAAAGCAGAGAAATGAATATTTTACACTGTTAATTTCACCAGCTGAAGGCTGCTGGGTACTTTTGAACCCTGTGTACCCTGACAGTGGTGAGACACTGTCATTTCACGGGTAAAATAATCTGCACGCATTATCTGTAGTAATGATCATTGCTTAAAATCAGTTTATTTTAAGGCACAATACATTTTTGAAGCTCTCAGGCCACATAAAATCCTGTGGCAGACCACATTCGGCCCGCGGATCTGGAGTTTGACGTGGGATTTATGTGATGTTAAACAAAGTTTTAGAAATGGTGTGCTCGTTTAAAAATGTTAGATACAGACAAAAACATTCAGATTAACGGGATTGACAAATTATTCTGAAGTAAAATATTAACAGGCAAAAAGGCATGAGAAAAATTATCTTACAATAAAATAAAGTTAAACAGCTGTGTAAATTAATTGGAACTAAATTTTGCTTTGGAAAATGTTTTTCTTTTGTTGTTGTTGTTGTTGTTTCTTTTTGTATATGATTTGGCAAAACACATCTGATTGTTCTTTTATTGTGCTTTGCAGGAGTGTCAGGTCCAGAACACAGCGAGGGAGTACATCAAGGCCTACACCTCGGCTGCTCAGTCTGTCGATGCCTTCGGAGACGTCCCTGAGTGAGTGACAAACGCATCAAACCTAAAAGCAGACGGCCAGTCCTCTCTTACATCGTGTCCCTTTCCTTTATGTGCCCACCAGCATCATTCCCATCTACCTGGTTCACCGTCCGTCCAACGACGTCCCCTATGCCACGCTGGAAGAGGAGCTGATTGGTGACTTTGTCAAGTATTCTGTCAAGGACGGCAAAGAGATCAACCTGATGAGACGTGACTCAGAGGCGGGGCAGAAATGCTGTGCATTCCAGCACTGGGTCTACCACAACACAGAGGGCAATCTGCTGGTCACAGACATGCAAGGTCAGGGAAACAGAAACAAAAGGAAGGGGGAAGCTGGTTTTCTGCAGAGGACTAAAAATCTGTCTGCTTTATTCTCAGGAGTTGGCATGAAGCTCACAGATGTGGGAATAGCGACCTGTAAAAAAGGGTGAGTATGCCTTTCGACGTTAACACAGGAGTTTAATACTGGAGTGTTTTTTAGACCAGGAGAACTTAACGTTGCTTTTTTGTTGCAGATACAAGGGCTTCAAAGGAAACTGTGCCACGTCTTTTATTGACCAGTTCAAAGCTTTGCATCAGTGTAACAAGTACTGTGAGATTCTGGGGCTCAGTTCTCTGCAGCCCAAACCCAAAAAGGCCTCAGCAGCTCCGAAACCTAAACCCCAACCCGCTGCTGCTCCCAAGAAGAAAATGTTTGGGCCCACGGTGAAGGGGAAATTGTAACAAAACAACATTAAAAATGTGACTTTTAAGACTCTCTTCTGCAGAGAACTTTAAGGAGGAACCAGGATGGGGAGCACAAGACAGCTGTTTAATCTGAACACTTGATAAACATTTATTTATTTTTTAGACTGATTTAGTGAGAGGATGCTGGGGTATCCAGATATATATATTTTTCTTTTTCTACTGAACATTTTCAAACTGTTAGTTCATTAAATTAATGAGCAGGTTGATTGATTGATTTGAGGAAATGTCTTAGAATTAGTTTGTGGAAGTGTCTGATAAGGTTTGCATGGATGAAATACATTTTATGTAGAGTCATAAGACATATAAATACTTTATTTTTTTGTGAAACTCAGGATGGGTTCACTTTTACCTTCAATGCAAAGACATTGTAGTCAATTAAAGCTTTTTAATGTTAGGTCTATAACTGTATTCAAGGAAAAAATGTGAACTTTTAATTTGTATAATAATATTTTAAGCCATTTTCCCTGCTATGTTGATTTAAAATGCTTTAAGATGTAAACTGTGCTGGTTGCTGCTTCTGGAGGTCAGTATGTGCGCGTGTGTGTGTGTGTGTGTGTGTGTGTGTG